TGTACTTAAAGCAGTGCTTGACTACGGTATATAGCGTTCATGATACAAATGGTAGAATTGCCTATTTTATAAATTGCTTCTTGTTTTAAAGGGATACTCCACCGTTTTTTCATATTAAAAGTCCCCTGACATGGGCTTATTTTATTATTTTATAATGTTTCCTGGGTTGCCCTTATAATATTAGTATTTTTTTACATTAAAAATAGTCATAGTTTAGAAATAAAAGGCATTTTTCCTAGCCTGATTTTAGCCTCTGATTTGAACGCTCTGTTTGAAGGGGCGTGTCTGCTGTGGGATTCAGTGTAACCAACCGCTGCTGTGATTGGCTGACATGCTTGCATATGAAATAGCTACATATTACATGTAAAACTCTCTGGAATACTTTTATTACAGCTATTATACGTTTTTACTATTACATCTATCAAGATTAATGAATCGTGAGAAGTTTTTAAAGTATTTAGATCTATTCCCATCACATAAAATGTTGCCGTGATGAGCATTGAGCAAGCAGATGACAGTCTGTTGATCGCGAGAATGAAGATCTTATCATAGCAACGCAGTTTCTGCGCTCTCTCTAATGCTTTCACCAATGCAAACACGACGATGTACATAAAGTAAGAGCTTCGTTATGCAGTGTAACGTGCGTCCATACAAAAGTTTGGAAGGTTGTGTCGGCGCATTTCCAGAGAAAATAAAATTAACCCATTGTTTCTTCAGAGGCTCGGATGAAAAGGAACTAAAAAATACTTGTTCTGTTTATTTGTACATCCGAACAAATCAACTGCCATGCTTCGCTCGTTTGCAAGCCATGATATCGAGGAAAAACTCAAATCGCGCTCGCGTGTTCGTACTTCCTAGTAGAGATGCACCGATTACACTTTTCTAGGCCGATCTCGATTTACGATTTTTCCTTGAGTTTGACCTGCTGATACCGATTTAATTTTTTCAAACCACTTTACAGCACACACATTTTTTACATCTTTAATAGAACATTTTGCATAGAACATTTTTTGAACAGATAATCGCTATAAAATAGAACTATATAAATTACTCCTGGTGTGGGAAAGTTATCCACTTTACATGCTTAGGAAAGCACAACGTTTTATTTGTGTCACGATTCTTGGTCGAGTTACTCTGTATTTAATTAGAGAAAACGTGGAGATGTTTGGTTGCTTCTCTGCTGGGATCCTAATGAATGAACTGGGCTAAGCTAAGTGCTAACAAAGTTTCGCCACAAGACAGAGCGATTTGTATCGAAAGAGGTATGTATCAACTCGTCTTAAGGGAATAACATAGCTTAATTAAAAAAAAACGGTGCACTATCCCTTTAAGAAACAAGTTTGTCAGTTAATAGGATTTATCACATTACATTAGAGACTTTACCACGTTACTGTACAGTACCGCATATACAGCAATTGAAACAATAACACGGACAAAGTTATGGTGGCACATTATTTATACATTGGTAGTACACTTGCGATTGTTAATAAATCAGTTGGAAAGTTTGCCATGCTGAGAGATTTTCAGTAACAATTTCACTAAATGATTCATGATGAGATCTGTCTCGTTACAGTGTCTTCACCTACAAGTTAAAAAAATAGTTCACTTCATAATAAAAATGCAGTCATAAGTTACTCACCCTCTAGTTTCAAACCTGTATGAATTAAGCTGCACACAAAAACAATACTATGGATGTCAATGTATAGCAATTGTTTGGTTACCGGCAGTCTTCAAAATATTTTCAGGTATACAACTTGAGGGTGAGTAAATTATGACAGAATTTTAATTTAAGTGAACTATTCTTGCCTTTATAGAGCACACAATGTTCCACTTGTTCACCCAGTAATATCCTAAAGTTGTAAACCATGTATTAATCCAGATTTATCTAAATCTGTATCTGTTCCAGTAACTTAAAATAGCAAATGAGGTGAAATGGCTCTTTCCAATCTGCTGTAAGTTAAGGACATTATTAGATAGTAACACACTATCCAAAAAACACAAAGGTTCTGTTCAGTCATGCTTAATTTACAACCTTCGTCTCAGTCCATCAAGTCCCACGGTTCATGTGAAATACCTTTATGTGCACAACAACTTTCACATTTGAATATTAACAAAGAGTAAATCGAGAATTTCTTAATGCCGACAGAAAGCTTAAAGGGATGATTCTTGAAAATTTCAAATAAATTTGTCATTGCATTAGAGAAGCATATGAAATATAAATAAAAAATAAAGCATATATACATTTGACAGTTGTTCACATGTGCATAGCCTAGATTAGTTTGATTAATTTGAATTGGTTTACCCATGCAAGACATGACAAAGTAGTTCATTTACAAGAGACACATCTGAATTATACTTGAAGTAGTCTATTCTGCAGACATTTTATAGATGAACAATTATTTATCCATTCAAAAATGCATGCTAACTAATTTCATTTCTAAATATATATTTAATGCTACTGTGGTGGCAAATAATTTAGCTTTATTGTGCTTGCATGACAACTGATCTTAGTGGAAAATGTATGCTATTTTCAAATGTTTTCTAATTTCAATTTTCAAATTTTCAAATTGTCTTCTTATATGGATCTTCTTTCTCAATTAACATAACACAAAAACAGCAGAGTGAGGTGTGAGTGATGTATAAAAAAGTTTAATGCGAGTTTTCCTTTTGCAAAACTCTGATGTCTGTATGTGAATGGCCTTCTTGCAAGGATAAAGTACTTCAAATGCAGTCTTATCACTAAATAATTTACATAACACTACAAATTACATATAAAGATTCCTCTATCAGAAAAAAACAACTAAGAACAATATAAATAAGAATTAAAAGGGAGAAAAAGCATGATTTCACATTTTAACAATTCAATTCACAATACAAGTTTACAATTCAAAGGCGTAGAAAGTTATGATATTTTGATTTTAAAAAGCAAATGAGGTCAATTTCATGTTAACCTAAAGGAAAAATAAAGCCTGTTTAGATAGATAGTCTGTTTCTAAATTAATAATATATGAATATTTAGGTCCTGTCCCCACATCATTCAGGGCATCTATTCACTAGACGCAGTATTTATGTTTCAGTGTTTACATAATGTAATCTGTTTGTTTTAGTAAATCGAAATGGATGAGATACATTGACACAAAACATTATAAAAACAATACTACTAAAAATAAATGCCCTTTTCCTCCTCAAAATGCAGAAGTATATCTGCTTTTGTGTTTTAAGGGCTTAAATTGAAATCGAATCTGTATAAAACATGCACATTCTCTGTTTTCCTTCTCGCCAAGTTCATAAATACAACTAAATACAGGTTTATCACAGGTATGATTCAGTGCAAATTCAGTAAAGCATGCAAGGACAATTCTCCTGGGCCCTACGGCTGGTTACAGAGTGCTATGAGAGGAAAGGCGTCACAGTGTAAATACTGAATGCATATAGATCTCCAGGCCTTGAATTACAGCTTTCATTAAATACATTGATTAGAAGCATTATTTTGCTAATGGTATGAGTGTGTTGGCAAATCATTTTACAATATTGCATGAATGATGTGCTAGGATTGCAGTTGCATAAATCGAAAACCTGCACATTATGAATGCGGCAGGCTGGCTTTGGACATAGAGCTTTGCACGCTACACTTTTATGGACAGAATCCATCCAAGAGCTTTTTTGTCTAATAATCTGGATGTAGATTTAGTGTGTTTGTAAAATGCCTGGACGTTCATCAGCAGTGTTGGGGAAAGTTACTTTTATTACTGCATTACTCCCTATAAAAGTAACTAATTGAGTAAAAGTAATAGGTTGTGTTAATTTTGCGTTACTTTTTCTTACTTGGGCCGGGCTTGCTTGTTTTTTAATAACCCGTTTTTAAAGGCCTTTCCATACCTGTACAGTAGAGGGCGCAGCTCAAACAAACCTTTCAGCTGTGCTGCCATTTTGGAGTAATTCAACACTCTTAGTTCAGCAATAAAAACAAATTGAACACAAATAATATGTTTATCTAAAGTCATTGAAGGTCAGCAGCAAAGACACTGGTTAATACATTTATTTGTGTTATTTAACATTTAATTATTGAAGGCTTGTGTAAGTTTTATTCATTTTGAGGAATCTGTTTTTGAGCAAAACATTTAGTCTAGAACTAGTCGACAATAACCATTAGGGATGCACCGATACCACTTTTTCCAGAACGAGCCCGATAACGATACTTACATTTTTGGTACTTGCCGATACCGATACCTGTATTTTCCCTGAATTTGTATATTGGCTAGAGAAACCAAAAGAATACTGTATGAATCATACTGTATTAGTTGGCTTATTTTTTGTAAATGTATATTTCCGTGAGTTATTATCATGCAAAATCATGTTAAAATATGAGCTTATGTTACTTTAACTGTTCATTCTAATGCTCTATCATAAATTGAATTGTACAGCACATATTTGGAGCTGATCCAGCAGGGCTTAGTGCTGATGATTGGGTTAGTGGTTCAAATGTTTACAGTGAAATATCACAATTCTCTATTACAGTTTTGATACTACTTTAAAAACTACTAGCTTAAACAAATAAAATAACAAATAATCAAATTACAAATAGCACAACTAAATAAAATAGAACAAAAAAAGGCTACAGATGAAATAAACAGCTGATTGGAGGAGGTCTAACATAGTTTACAGATAACATAATTTGAATAAAGTAATCAAATGTGAAATAATACTGCATATTAATCACTGTATAAATTAAATATAGATGAATATTTATAAAGTTACAAAAGTAATTCAGTCAATAGCAGTGAGTGGTTACTTTGTATTTTGTAGTTTGATTAACAGTAAAAAATAAATAAAAACAACAACACAGCAGCAGGTTTATTAGGCAGCGGTCCCTTTAAGACCAAATGCACGGATATAGCCAGCCCTACTGTATGTGTTTTCTTTGTTTTCGTTCATTAAGATATAACCACCTATGTTTACCAGGATACTCACCAAGAGGGACATAATTTTGTGTGAATTTGTCCGTTCAAGCACGAGACATGAACGAAAAGGCAATTCAATTTGTGCGCTGTCTTTGGCTGTAACATAAATAGCGTAACAGTTCATATTTTACTTGCATATATGATTTAGTTTTAAAAGTTTCAATATGATTTAGTTTTAATTTAATGATGCATGTGTACTGAGTGAACGATCAGCAATCAAGAGCATGCAACAGAAGTGTGCTCTCTCTCTCTCTCTCTCTCTCTCTCTCTCTCTCTCTCTCTCTCTCCTGTCAGTCAATTCGTTTTACCTTCTTTGCCATCTACATATACAACCGAACTACAAACTTCCCACTGATGTCTGTGCAAAAGTTATGCGCTCGACAAGCTCGTGTGTCTCTCTCTCTCTCTCTCTCTCTCTCTCTCTCTCTCTCTCTCTCTGTGCGATTTCCAATTTTTGTCTGGTTTGAATCAAATTTATTTTAAGGAAACTAAAACTGAAACTAAGACTAAAACTATTGTTCACATTTTTTTCGTAAATTAGATACATTTACTTCATAATAGACAGCCTTCTCTTTTATCCCCACTTTACTCTCTGTTGTCAGTGTTTCTTTGTCTGGACACGAACATTGTACACATGCTATCGGAGCATTTTTATGAGTCTAAGTGTGAGACACAAGCGCAGTATCGGTGCAATAATAACCATCATGTTCACTGCACATACTCCCGATTTCTCTCAATATGGGGACAGGGAAGGTGGTAAAACAAAGTAACTTCAGTTACTTATTTGAAAATTTAACTCTGATATTTTCTTACAATTTTAAAAGTATTTTTTTTTACTTTACTAGTTAGTTGAAAAAAGTAATCTGATTAATGCGTTTCCCCCAACACTGTTCATCAGTTCTTTTGACATCAGTGCTTTAATGTGTTACATTAGGCAGTGTTTAAAAGTCAGTGGCTGCATGTCACATGAGAGGCAGATATGTGGTGTTAAGATCTTTTTTTCTCTTAATTAACAGGAAACAGTATGAATTTATCCCTATGTGACTAGTTAGGGATTGATGGATGTTTTTTTTTTAAACATATACAGAACTTGCCGCTTTTGTGTTCATGTGAATTAAGTTCCTATTGTTTAGTGTGTTAGTTTTTCATTCTCCGCCAGTGAACCGCCTCTTGATCTCAGAGAATCAAGTCTCCGTTGTAGACTAAATCATGCGCTTTACTGTTACATTCTGAGAGTGTACCAAGAAAATAAGTTCACCCTTAAATTATGTCTTTGACTGAGTGTTGGATGTGGAGTTGGTGCAGTTAAGTTTAATGAACCCAGGGAGAGTGACTCTGCCATATGTATAGATGTCACGGTCAGACCCCTGGTTCATCCTCTTTACCAGGTTCTTCTCGTATAATAATGGGTGGTAGGCACCTAGGGTGCAGGCAGCATCACTGAAGCGCTGGTAGTAGTGGCACAGCTCAGTTTTTCGTCGCGAAGGCAGGAACTCATACACATGTACAACTTCACAGAGGGACATCATTAAAACTGTGCCTATGGAGGTAGAAGGAAAAAAAAAATAGGTACATGTAAAATCCAGCACTGTTTGCATATGGAAAACAATTGTTCATACCCCCTCTGAATAAATGGTGAGCTTGGATATGTTAATTTTTTTTTTTATGTGGTTGTCACTATCTGCCTTTTTGGGGAGTTAATTCAGTTGTAGAATGCAATTGTCGCTTCCATAAATGACTAAACTGTGTACATGCCCGTACTTAATGGTTTCTTAAAGGGGTACTCCACTTTTTTGGGAAATAGTCTCATTTTACAACTCCCTCAGGGTTAAACGTTTGAGTTTTACCGTTTTCAAATCCATCCAGTCGATTTTCAGATATTTAGAAGAATATCAGTAACCAGACCGTTTCTGGTCTCATTGACTTCCTAGTAGGAAAAAAAATATACTATGGAAGTCAATGAGACCAGAAACTGTCTGTATACTGATATTCTTCTAAATATATCAGAAAATCGGCTGAATGGATAAGAAAACGGTAAAAGCCAACTGTTTAACTCTGGGGGAGTTGTAAAATGAGCCTATTTCCAAAAAAAGTGGAGTATCCCTTTAAGCATTTGTGATTTATAAAAAAAAAATCTTAATAAAACTTACCCAGCAGGCCCGATGAGGGTGGGTTTTTTTGTATAGTCTCGTCCATATTGTCCTGTATTCGCTGCCACAGCTGCCATTCCATCCGTGGGTGTATAATATAAAATGGCTGTTGAGGGTGTAAGCGTCGATATCGCTGATACTGTTTAAATATTGGGTAATCTGTCTTGTTGAACCACTGAAAGCATAACAAAAGGACGATTATTAAATTTCTCCAAATTTCACTAATGAAATCTGTAAAAATATGAGTTTTTATATATATATATATATTAGAGTCAATATGAAACCGTAGGTGTAAATTTGATTAGATCACGGGGATTAAAGTTCTCCGTCGCTATGACGGATTAGCGAGTCAATTAATGGAATGACTACAACACGTATAGTCGGCCTACAGTACAGAGAAATTTAATGTCGGAGTGGAATCTGAGCGAACACATTTTACTGGTGAACATATGGGGGAGGGGTGAGATTTTCGAATAATAATAGAATAATTCCCAGCGACCATTAAATATTATTTTTGCTTGAAATGCCCATTCCTACCATAAATGGCTTTTTGTTCTGATGCTGGTGCAGTCAGTTTCCGTCCTCTGTTCAGTGTTAACAGGTTGAGTTAGAACATGCGTCATAATTTCTTATTATAAAGTTTAGGTTAAAAATATAGTTTTATATATAGTTAGCTCACTTTGTGGCAAAAGCTCTGTTGGCTTTTATTATATTTTATATAAATGCAAATGTTCTTTTGAATATTTCATTTGTGAAGGTAAAACATTAACTCTTTATACTCCTAATTACAAGAAGAAAAGAAGTGTGACGGGCTGTGAAATGGGGTTTGGCTAATAAGGAAAAATAGTAAATAATATCCAAAGGTTTTTTGTTGCTTTAACCCCTGAGATCTTGAAAAGTACTGTTTCCAAGTGGTATTCTGATATTTTTATATAAAAAATATCTTTTTGATATTCCATCTTTTGATATTCTGGATAATTTTGTCCAGCTGTATGGAAAAATTGTATTGTTGACTTGTGCTAGGAAGAAAAAGCTCAGCATCTCCTCGTCGGGGAATCAAACCCAGGTCTCGCCCACGCGTGACAGGCACTATACTAATGAGAAGTGGCTTGGTGGTCACTTGCTTCAAAAACTACACTTCATCAAACTAGGACTTTGTGTTGAAATCTTCTAATTAAGCATGTTTGCTGGGATTTTGTGAGTTTGCCAAATGCTTGACAGTGAAATATGGTTGAGCTCTTACCTCCCGTAGATCGGACGAATAAGGGCCAGGATCCCAGCTCACTAAAATCCCTGCACTGTACAAAGAACTGGAGAGGAAATGGTGGTCTTCAGATGCCATTACCTATGCAATAAACAGAAATGATGGTATTTTCAGAGATTGCTACTACATTTCATTTTAACCTTTCCAGAGTTAGCAAACAATTTACCTGGGAATTGATTAGTCGCACTGTTGTTTTAGAGCCCACATCTTTCTCAAAGCCTGCTGTCGGTGCGGCATTGAACCGTATCACCGCATCATGAGTATCTAGATTTCAGGATTTCTTTTAGTAATAATGCCTCATGCATATACATAAAATCATCCAATTTTTCATAATATCAAAGAATGACGTATTACATATACAGTGATGTGAATAAGTTTGGACACCCATGATAAAGTTGCCTAAAAAGAGGAATAAAAATCATCTTTTGGAAATTGATCTTTATGCCTTAAGTAGAAAATAAATATTGGGGTGCACATAACCTTTTTGGTCTGGTCTTTTTGAGCACCTGGAGATGCTGCTTGTTACTAACCTTTCACACTTATCCTACAAGCTATCGTCATCACTTTCTCCTGACTGCTCTCTCCTCTATCTTTTCTCTTGAACGTTGTAGGTGATGATGATGGATTTAAAAAATTTTTTTAAAATATATTAATGACAGACAACAGCAGGAATATTAGGCTGCTGTCACTTTAAGACTGAATGCATGGACAGAATATACTGACACGCATCCAGCTTCTTTCTCAACGAAAGAATTTGCCGTGGATGATATTTTGACATTTTGTGTGTTTGTGTCCATTCAAGCGCAAGGAAACGTGAAAAAGGAGTCAATGGGAACGCATAAGTTCCGCATTTGACGTAAGGATGCTCGTCCATTTCCGGTTGTGTAGATTAAAGCGGAGGAAAACCGGAGAAAACGGGATTATGGCAGAGTCTTCAATATTTACTGTCCTCCCGTCTTTGAAACGAAACGTACATACGTTTAGATGTAATTTTATATATAGTTATGTTTATTTAATATAATTTTAAAAAGAAGCATAAACACAACGAGGGGTGTCTGTTTTGGACTCTACGATCGGCGGAAGTTATCGAGCATCCTTAATCCTTCACCAGAAATACCGCCGTGCATAGAGCCCATTCAGTGTTTGAGTGCTGTCTGAAATGTGCCTCTCTCTCTCTCTCTCTGTGCGATTTCCAATTTTTGCCTCGTTTTGAATCAAATTTATTTTAAGTAAACAAAAACTGAAACTAAGACTAAAACTATTGTTCACATTTTTTTCGTAAACTGAAATAAAATAGAAATTTCAACATAATTAAAAAACTAAAACGAAACTAAACAAACAACAGTTGCTGAAAATATATATAATTAAGTTAAACTGAAATAAAATAATAAGCAAATTATTTAGCAAAAATAAATAATCTTTTTAGTAAGTAATGAGCTCTCAATCATGTCTGAAAAAACTGAAAAAACAAATAGCATGTCTGGCCCACAATTAGACGTATATTTGTCAGAGTAGAAGTAAACTAAATGTCTGATCTGAATAGAACACATGAATATGAGTATAACTATGAGTATATGATATTAAAAGATGCAATAGACAAAAACCATAAATGGATCAGTTCAAGGATAATGTTTGAAAGGATTACAATATTTAATCTTTAATAAGAATTAATAATTTTTACTTTTTAGTTGCATTTGTATGGTTCTTTGTTCAATCTCAAACAATTATTTTATTTTTATTATTAAGAGGTTTGCACAAGAGTTAACTGTAAACTGCAAACATTAAATTTAGCTGAAATGAAATGTCTTTAACTGGAAGTGAAATGAACACACTTATCATCATGATTGCCCTCTTACCAGAGATGGCGAAACATCCTACTCTAGTAAGTAAAAGTGTCTCTGTCCTCAATTTTTATTTATTTATTTATTTTTTTTGGTAATTTTATTTTTTACCAAGCACGCGCACCAGTTATGTGCACCCCTCTGTGTGTGTGTGTATAGATAGATAGATAGATAGATAGATAGATAGATAGATAGATAGATAGATAGATAGATAGATAGATAGATAGATAGATAGATAGATAGATAGACACATACATACAATATATTATTTTATAAATGGAAATTCAAGCCAAAAACTGTATTGTATAACCTTAAAGTAATATCTAATGATGTAAATTACTTTGAAAAAATCTAATCTCTTTTTTTAAGTTGATGGATCCAAAACAAATGGGATTATTTAAAAAAAAAAAACATTCTGTCATCAATGCAATTTAAAACACAGGTTATAATTTATAATAATAAAAACACTGGATCTGAATGAAATACATCCAGATTATGTTATGAATTATAATGGATTACCTATTTCCTTTCCTAATCCAGAGTTTTTGAGAGAACCTGCAGATGACACCACTGCACAGGTCTTAAACGGGCCAATATCGGTGGTTATTTGATGCAGTGGTAACTGAGAGGCCCAGGGCAAACCAGAAAAGGGCTCCATATCTGGTGTTAAAGTTGTAATCTGAACCATCTCCTTGATTTGACAAAGAAGTTCAGGGCCACTGAGTTTGGGACGATGTGCTGCAGGTCCAGGGTGCTTAACTCCATATTTATTCATTGCCTTAAATGAAAACAAAAAAGACTATGATAGAAATGCATATCACATTCATACAAGAAAGTAAGGTTGGTAAGTTGGTAGAGTTTTGTATCTCAGAGAATCTATTTAAACCACGTTCAAATAACCCACCTTGGTGGCAAAGGCTGCCGTATTTACACTAATTCCCGCCTACCATTGTTTGATTGAGCCAGGCAAAATGACAAAAGTAACCCAATGACATCTGATGGCGAGGAGAGTAAGATGGGGCCATAAGCTTTTGACGCAACCAACCTGAGTTGATAATCCGATTTCCGGATTTTAAGAAATATAATCATGTACACTGATAGCTGTAGAGCTTCTTCCTCAGAGGATTATGTCAAATGGATTAACTGAAGAGACTTCATGCCTTGCTGATCAGCAGTATTTGCAGTTTTTTTTTACTGTTTTTATATAGTAAAGGCTTTTAGATGTCTTTCAGTTTCGCTCACCTGGTAGTTCTGCACCACCTTCCTCAGCCTTTTTCCCAGCATGGTGCTTGACATCTCCTCATTCCAGACTTCTCCGAGTGCTCCATTAGGCCCAAAAACAACAGCATCCCCACTTGAGGCACCATCTCCTCTCCGTTGGCCTCCAAAAATAGTCTCTAAAGCACGTCTCAGCGGTTGCGCCAAAAGCCAGTAAAATAACCCATGCTCTCTTCTTTTTCCCCTGAGGCTGCGGTCCTTGGAACTGCTGTCCATTGAGTAGTTCGAAGATGACAGGATGGGAATAGGCTTCTGAGGATCTCCAGGAATGACACCTGGGAGCTTTTGAGGGTCAGTATACATGGGTTTTGACCCTCCTGTTCCCCGCAATACCTTCGATAGATCAATTTCACTTTTAGTAATAAAGTATTTTTCATTTTTTACTTAATAGAGTGCTGCAGGGATGACGTAATTTTGTAAGCTAACCTGGAAGTTAGCATCACTCTGGTTCCCTAGACAAGAAGCCAATAGTGTTTTTTTTTTTTTTTCCAGTGACTTGAATTATTGCCGAAAATTAGCTCTTACAAACTTTATTTAAAATCTACAAATAGGAAAATTTATTCGGATTGAAGCGCGTGTGCGTCCGTGTGAAGACTGCGCTAGCCACAACAGAACACTATCCGCACCACTGATCGCAGCGGCAACGTTTCAGATCGCCTCTTATTTAACAAACGAACGAAATGAATGCTCTAGAGTTAACTGGAGATGTTTTATTTGTTTTTTGTATTGGTTCATCCGTGCCGCGAGATGTTTCAATGGGGACATATCACACCCGCAAATTACTCTGGAAGTTAGCATCACTCTGGTTCCCTAGACAAGAAGCCAATAGTGTTTTTTTTTTTCAGTGACTTGAATTATTGCTGAAAATTAGCTCTTATAAACTTAATTTAAAATCTACAAATAGGAAAATTTAAGTTAGAATAGTTTGCAAGAGCACAATTATAAACACAAGCCTGTAAAAGCCAACTATAGTGTAGATAATGTTTCCTCTTTGTGATGATGTTTAACTTTTTACTCAATTTCTAAAAACATTGCCAGCTAGCACCAGCATCTTTGATCATATTCACAAAACGTTCATGGCCCCAAGGATATTTTGTTGTATGAATATGTAAACAGTCAATATATCAAAAGATGTTGAAAAAGAAGTTTCATTACAACAACATTTTCATAAAAAATTGAGAAAATCATGTTTTTGTCCAGTCCAACAACACCCTCCAAGACTGCACACTCGTATACTGCTTTGTGGTTTCTACATTTCATTTGGTAACGTTTTTATTTATATGCTGTTGAATGTTTGATGATCACGCTAGCTTACTTGTGCGTAAGCAATCTACTATCCATTCCTTCTGGTTTACACAGATCTTCTTCAATTGTTTTTGGATCCTGATGTGTTGTACTATAACATTGCCCCCTACAGTGAAAACATGGATTGCCGGAAAAACTCATCAATGGGCGGGAAAGTGTAAATGTTCCCGACAATCTCTGTAGTCCCATTTTAGTCACTTGATTGCAACCAGACAAAAGCAATCTTTACAAAATTTCAAGTGATGTACTGTTGATGTATTATATGGCATAGAATAAAACGCATAAATCTTAATTTTGTCTTAAAGGGATACTTTGGGATTTAGCTTTGTATTAGTAGAAAACCTGTAGTATTTTCGAATTACCATGCTTTGCACCCTCATATCCCCCTGAAAAGAGAGATTTAAGTATTTTTTGTCTGGAAAAAATCCTCCGATGACGCAAAATGACGATTTTTACGTCACCTTTTGCTTTCAATCTAACTGAATTCATTCTGATTGGTGAATCTGAATGTAGTATTTACATGAACGCTAAACAAGTGATTGGTTGATGTGCGTTTTAACATTGCTAAGAAAATTCCCGCTCCTCTGTGAGAGATCCGGTGCGTTTCACAGGTGTCGCTCATCGGTAATCACGGCACCGGCATTGCGCCGTTCTCCCGCGGCCCAACACTATCTCGCGACCAATTCGTACGAATTCGACGAATGATTAAAAAGTCTCCAATTCGTACGACCTTACTCGTATGAATTTGTACGATTTGTCTAAACCCACGTGATGGTTAGGTTTAGGGGCGGGGTAAGGGGTAGGTCATTCGTATGAATTCATACGAGTTGGCCAATTCGTAAAATATGTACAATTTAGAAAAAATCTTACTAATTCGTACGAGTGAGGTCCTATGAATTGTTACGATTTAGCCACTTTTTAATCATTCATCAAATTCGTACGACTTGGTCGTGAGATCCGGTGGCCCTCACTCGTCCTGCTCGCCCCAGTAAACATGATGAATGGCAACTGTAGAGCGCAAAAGCCGAATCCCGTACATTTTGTGGCGATCTCGAAAGACGTTTTTTTAGACGGACTCATCACGGAGACTCACTAGTAGCCTAGACTTGTTGTTTAACTAATGCGCTCTGTTACCCGGTAGGCGTGGCCTCCTAGGGCAGCGAAGCAAGTGTATTCTGGGAGTTGTTGTCTTTCATCCACATAATCCAAAAATACATTTTCTGTCTTTTCTCAGTCTAGAAAGCTACAAATTCAAAAATTATTTTACATTTCTTCTATATACTGTAAATGACCCATTTTAAATACACATTCATCTTTACAGAGTTGAAGTATCCCTTTAACCACGGATCTTATTTCAGGCATTTAACAAAAAAACACTGACTTTGGGATGATGTAACCGGATGTGCAAAAAAACAACTAATTTTATTGTTTTAAGTCTCATTCCTACAGCACTCTATTGTGCAGATTCGATTGAACAGAAAGCAGCGTGAGGAAAGGAATCTCTTTGCCATACCTTAAGAATTGTGTGGGCTCTTGGTTGAGCTCGAGTTCTTGCCTTCACGCCAAAAATGGCATCTGTGACGGGTATGCTGTTTTCAGCGCAAAAGGTGTACAGGAGAGCCATAGTCATACAGAACAGAGCCATGCACAGGGCTCCTCGACGGGCCCGACGTCTCAACCTCCAGAGTAGGCTAACACGATCCATGGCAGCCCCTGGGATCTGGATAATGAATTACAGACAAGATTAGAAAGTTAAAGGATGACCTATAAAAATGAAGTTGTCAGCTGCATAGAAGCATATGAATAGATTCAGCTAAATTGAAGACTAAAAGTGTTTATTTTGAAGCTCTAGTAAACTCAGTCTTTGTGTAAGGAACAGGCCGTGTTAGAAATTAAATTAGTGTGAAGGGAAAAGCATGTTCAATATACCACAGCCATCTACTATCAGAGAGTGAATGTGTATTTCCATTCAGTGCGTCTTCCATCTTCCTGTTCTTGCATATTGAGCTTGTTTACATCAGTGGGCGTATGCACATTCATTATTAATCTTATGCCTGACGAGAACTGCTTCATGAATTATTCTTCTCTCTCATTGTTACGAATTACAATGAATCACGTAATTATATATTTTAAAAATAGCCAATTTAAACAAAATTGTATTAGTTTGTGTAACTAATTGTATTTCTGTCGGACGTTTAACATTTCTATTGTAAAACAGTTGTCAAATATTACATATATATTGAGTTTAACTACTTGCATATTATCTCTCACTTTATGACCATTTACTGATTCGTGATCAGCATTCAGCTGCTTCTGTAAATATACAGCCCGCCTACTTTGATTTGATTGGTCATCTCAAACATTTTGACATTGATGATCTGTGTTTGACCATTGGCTGTGTGTAATATTCGTGTAGCACCAAATCAGTGTTAATATTAGGTAATTATCACTACCTTTATTATATACACCTCAGAAAAAAAAGTCTGGACCTTGGGGACCTCAGTGGTGGGTACGGCCCTGGTTGGGTTAACTGTTGTGTTAAATATGTAACATGCTTTAATAAGCTTGCTTCAGTTGACCTACATTTAAGCTAGCAGAGTTTATTAATGCAGTTTAGCTCTCTGGAGTACATTTGAAACCTGCCGATGCCTTAAAGGGAGCAGACAAATTGGTTTAAGAAATTGTGGTAGTTGCATTGGTGTTAGCCTAGAAAAGACAATTTTAACTAAAGTAATAATTTTACACAGAATATTATCATTTTAATAATCATGCCCAGAATAAAAGGTCCATAAAACAATTGTAGTTATGCAGAACATCAGTTTTATGACAGTAACCAAAACTTCATACATGATGTGTAAAGAGTGCTTATCATTTAGTAATAGATACGGGTGATCTCTGAAAAAGGGATATTCAGCTCGATACAAAAATGGTAGTGCAAGGTACTCAAAGTAGGATTTAAATTGCAAAAAGCCTTTATGAATTCATGGCTTGCAACCTTACAAAAGTAAAACTACCATGTACCGTGATGTTACTGCTAAGAAACTTTGGTCAGAGTATGGGAGACTATCAATGAGTCTTATAAGGTTAGGTGTGTTCAACTTTTTGTGGCAGTAGGGCTGTGTATCACCAACAATGCCATGATACGATACGCATCCAAGTATGCAAGTATGCATCATCATAAATAAGGTGTATAATTGAATTGGTCTTTTTAATATAGTACTTAGTACAAACCTGGTAAAAAATAACTGGCGAGCGATGGTGGTAAGCCTTGTTTTGCCCTCCAGGTTGGTGTTCCTGTAAGGGTGTGACATCACGTGAAAACTATGAATTACAAACACCTATTTTACGTCAATTACATAAATTGTTGTTTTTTTGTTATGTGCCAACTCTAGCCTGTACTGTGACATCTCTAATTGAGGAACAAGGGTGATTTGAAACATGCATTTTTTTTCAAACATTGTTTGGTATAGCTTTAACCAAGTTGAAAAAAATAAGATTGTGTAACTATCATTAAAGCATGTGATCACATTTTTAAATAATGACTAACTGTGTTACAAGTATGATGAGTTTGGAGTTTTGTAGTAGGCCTAATCATTTTGAAAATTTAGCACTCCACATATATGCAAATTACAGTTTGCTGTTCCTGAATTTGAGGTAGGCTATAAAAATATCTAATTTGATTTGAATATTTGTACTTCACATATATGCAAATTGCATGCAGCAGTTTCTGGATATAGGCATATAAAAAGATGAAATTTGATTTGAATATAAGAAATTTTAAAAAATGGATGGATGGATGGATGGATAGATAGATAGTGACTATCTATCTATTGTGATAGTGTCACTTAAGCTGTTATAGTTGTTTTGTGTTTATTGTATATATATATATATATATATATATATATATATATATATATATATATATATATATATATATATAAATCAGAAACTGGCCTTCATAAGTTTGGATGGGACATGAGGGTATCAATATAAAATAAGCTATGCACAGGCCAGATTAACGCACCCGCATTCTGTTTTACATAACACATGGAGTTATGGCATATAGGCAATAAAGAAAACCGAATGATATTATAATCTCGGGCATCTCTTTTTGTGCGTGATGGTTAATTCATATTCGGTTATATCTGATTTTTAATTTCACCCACCGAAAATAATAAGGATTAAACAACACCAATGTTAATTTTATATTCTAAATGCATGAGACAAGAGAAGTGCGAAATGATGCTACGTGAATGAGACAAATATTTGCACGCCTACCTTGTATCCCATATTTTTTCCGATGCTGTTATTTTTGGTTAGTTCGATCCGTTTTCGCCAGGTCCTGGTCTTTGCATTTTGGTTGATTTTTTTTTTATGGATACAGATTATGCTTAGAGGAAACCTATATTGTATAATCCCTTAGTATAATAACCTAAATCACGACAAGACCTTTTCCTTTTTACCTTTCGAAGAGATGCTCTACATCTCATCTAAATATAGGTCTTTTCGAGCTGATGCTTGTAGATAAACCGCCATGTTTATATACTGCATAATAATATGGATAGACTCTGAGCTGGTGCGTTGATGGTTCATTGATGTCTCTTGCTCTAGCGGACGAGAGCGGTCTATGCCCTTTTTTATCGCATGCGACTGCGGTTGTGGGTGCAGCGGATTCTGCGTCTTTCTCCTATTGATAATTATTGATGTACTTCTGACATGAAACTGTCACAAATGCACACATTGCATTGGGTGCTAAAATAAATATGATAAATAGAATAAAATTGTACACAGAAGTGTACATATCGGACAGGGTTCGAACTTTGTATTGTATGGGTTCCATAGTGTAGCGGTTATCACGTCTGCTTTACACGCAGAAGGTCCTGGGTTCGAGCCCCAGTGGAACCATGGTTTTTGACTAACGATAAGCGTTATTATGTTAAGTCATTATAAAATGGTCCACGTATATGTATTTTTATGAACAAATGTAAACTCATGTTTATTTGCTGTTGTAAAAAGTTAGCAGCAATCTGCCTTTGCTAGAGTGACTAGGGTGCTTTCACATCTGTAGTTCGGTTCATTTGGTCTGGACCAAGGGCGAAATTTTGTAGCATTTTTCAGGGGGTTTGGTTCGTTTTCGCACCTTGCTCTGGTCCGAATCAGTTGATGAGTTGATGAAACGAACCAACATATAGTCACGTGACAACATCCACATTACTTGTTGGCCAGATATGTCTTGAACATATTTCCATAACTGCACTTCGATTGGTCAGAATCAACGTGCGTGAAAATCCCAACAGAACCCCTGGAAGTAAACAAAGAGGTTAAATCAGCACGAGCTTTATCCTTTCGGAAATCCCCTCATAAACGACATAAGCAACAAAGTATAGACGCGATATACATAAAGGTTCACTGCAGTGCGGACAACTTCAGTGTTTATGAGGAGTGTTTTTGAGAATGCAGAACGCGTCAGTCATGGCTTAAAGGGAGGGCTACAAATAATAATTTTGTTTTACTACGGCAGCTGGTTTAGTCCATAAATGGGCAGTTATTTGGCAGTTGGGTCTGTATCACGTTCTCACCACAAACGAACCGCTCCAGAGTTCGTTTGAAAGCTTACCGAGACCACCACCTCTTCGAGGTACGCTTGTTTGGTCCGCTTTTGGTGCACATCGGAGTGCGATTGCTGCCTTCACGCCTGCCAAAACGAACCAGACCAAGGGGGGAAAACGAACGCTAGTGCGATTCAACCGAACTAAATGAGGCAGGTGTGAAAGCTCCAGTTACGTGAAAGCACAGTTGGTTGAAAATGTTATATAAAAAAAAATTCAGGTAGTGTTTAAAATAGCATATACTTTTGTTGTGTGTATAAAAAAAGATTACTCTCAATACTACCTAAATAAGATGCTAAAAATATAAATGTATTGTTTTATTGAAATGGGCTATGCACGCATAAGTTCCGCATTTGACGCAAGGATGCTCGTCCATTTCCGGTTGTGGAGATTAAAGCGAAGGAAAACCGAGGAAAACGGTATTATGGCAGTCTTCAAAATTTACTGTCCTCCCGTCTTTGAAACAAAATGTACGTTTAGATGTAATTTTATATATAGTTATGTTTATTTAATATAATTTTAGAAAGAACCATAAACACAACGAGGGGTATCTGTTTTATCTGTTTTTGTGACTAACGTATAACCATGGAGTATAAAATTCAATATAAATTCTCGGTATTGCATTGGACTCTACGATCGGCGGAAGTTATCGAGCATCCTTACACCTTCACCGGAAATACCGCCGTGCATAGAGCCCATTGAATTGGCAAAAAAGTCAGTAGCACCTAAATGCAGAACATGATATCCACGGGGAGGAGTCGGATCACGATCCAAGGGGTGGAAATGGGTAGGATTAGGGTTGGGTTTAGGGAATAGGGGTGGGTTTAGGGATCAGGGGGCGGAGTTGGTTAGGTTTAGGTGTATGTAAGGTGGGAGGAGTTGGATCTGGATCCGACTCCTCTCCGTGGATTTCATGTTCCGCAGTGAGCACCATCTCAAAAAAAGTGGAGATGCCGGGGATTGAACCCGGGACCTCATACATGCGAAGCATGCGCTCTACCACTGAGCTACATCCCCACGTGACGTAACTGTTCATGTATCAGTAGTAATTTGCTCTACATGCACAAAATGCCGTCACCCAAGAGTAAAATTTGTGTCATCATTCACTGCCCCTCTTGTTATTTTCAAATCTGCGTTGGTTTCTTTCTTTTGTTGAACACAAAAGAAGATATTTTGAAGATGTTGGTAACTAGACACTAACGGTGTTCAGTCGATTTTTGCTGCCTTGTCGAAAAATGCTACCGTAGCGTGAATTGATCACAGAATGATGATTAAAGTCGTATGAAATACAATTATAATACAATTCTAAGTTATGAGTAGCTACTGTATACTGTAGACTACTGAAAAGTAAAAATTATCATAAAATATTCTTCTTTGACTTGTCAAAGTACACCCTTCCTCATAGTAACTGAAACTTTCAGTTATTCTTTTTCAGCTGGCTGACCGTACAAATATTCATATGGTAGTAAGCATTTTTAAAGGGAAATTATACATTTTATAACAGGAAAATTTACCTTTTGTAAGAAAAAAAAAAAAAAACCGGTGAGTCTGCACATGCGCATATTATAACCGGTAAGTAGCAAATCTCGATGGGTTTTTTTTCTACTATGAACTGTCTTGATACTGGTATTCTATAAAATATTTTCGTTTGTTCAACAGAAGAAAGAAACAAATACAGGTTTGGATACTATTGACTTGATATTAGCGAGTGAGTAATGACAGAACTACCCCTTTAGGGGATTCCCTGTATGGCATTATTGCCAAATGTATTTTATGCAGCACTTAAAAAGAGCAACAAAACGGAACTTTTACCGGGAAACATTTCTAGCACGTGATTGGTCTTAGATAGTCTTGACATTAGACTAAAGCAACAAGAGTAGCCTATTACCATAGACAGCCTAAAAACAAAGTACAAAATGCTTTTTCATCTCTTTCATGCGTATGATGGTGCCATCTAGCGGCATTTTTTGGTCGCAATTATTTTGTAAAGTCCTTTTTGTGTTGGAAGCGGAAGCCATAGTGATGCTAACTTCCGGGTTTATTAAACGTGCATCTTGTTCAACATTAAGATATGTTTGCTATATTATTTATTTCATGTTTTTTCACAAACGCATGCATCCCTAAATAGAGAACAACCAAGTACATAAAGTGAGACTGCGCTACCATCCAAGGTTCTATAGAGTACGATTGTGCGTCAAAGGCGGGCTGCGATGGCCGAGTGGTTAAGGCGTTGGACTTGAAATCCAATGGGGTCTCCCCGCGCAGGTTCGAACCCTGCTCGCAGCGGAAATTGCCTTTTTTGTTTTGTGCCGAAGTGATGACGTCACTTTGTAGGACAACTCCGTAAGCTAGCGGCGCATGGGATCCCTCGATCGAAAAAATCACAAAAAATAAGATATGTGTTTAACAAAGTGTTGTGACCCTTACACGTTTTGTCTATCAAGATAATCTTTACAAGTTAAAAGTAAAAACTTTAAAAGTTTTTTTTTAACAACACAAGCAGATAAAGTTTAAAAAAAAAAAAAAAAAAAAAACCAAGCAGGTTAACTGTGTGTTCTATGTCATAGATCAACACTTGAAAATATTAGAGGCTTTGTTCACCACGGACCTTATTTCAGGCGATTTAGCAAAAACCCTTTCAAAAATCCCAAGACTTTAGAGCGAGGGAACCGGGAGTGCTAAAATGCTAACTCACTTCCGCGTTTTGGCCTACAGAGTGACGTCGTAACTTCGGCACTCTTGCACCTGCACATTTATTAAACCCTTTTGTGTATTTTAATTTAAAAGACAGAATTAATCCACGTCAAAACACACTTTATAATGGCCATATTCTTGAACAATTCTGTGAAAAATAATTTCCAGAATGGCATTGGGGTTTGTTTGTTTTCAGGGATCATAATGGTTTCATTATTTACCACATAAACTAAATACCTGACGTCTTAAATGATATCCTCCGAATTTCGAAAGCCTCAACTTTTCAGTGGCTGGCCGATTTAAGTGAACTGCAATATGTGTAAGATCCGTTGATCTTAATTAATCTTCCCAGGAGGGGGCGTATTTGTCCAAAAATAGACGCTGCTTTCTTAATGCTTATTACATTATTTAATCTACTTATTACATCACTGCCAGTCTTTTTATGTTAATCTTGTATTGTGAGAACAAATGCAGAGTAGATTTATAAAAAAAAAATCATAATCCATTTTTCTTAATACACCCTTCATTATTCACAATCTTGATGCAATCTACAATCCTAATATTAATTTAGAACAAGATATAATTGAGTTTGCTTGGTTGCAGCAGGCATAAAAAATGTACAGACAGCTAACAGATTAAAAGGCAAGAAATTGTACTATAGTTCCACTATTTTTAAAATCACTTTCACTTACAAGGCCTTATCAGGCAGCCGTATCTCATATTTTACGTATATTCCAGCAGACATAAGGCCCAGAGGGTCTCTAGAGAATGAGATTTTTTTTTTAATATTGCTTTCAGCCACTCCTCCCTCCCTTCTCTCTTCAACTCTTAATATGTGGAGTTGTGTGCTGAAGTGAGAGGGAGTGACACAGCAGGTGCGAGATGAGAACCCCAAACTGTCACACAAAGGGTGAGAAAGAGGGTGGAGAATGAAATCATTTCAAAGAGAGAGAGAGAGAGAGTGATGCACATGAGAGAGTGAGGAAACAGAAAGAGTGATTGTGAGATACTGAAACACAAGCACAGAGGGACGATACAAGAGAGAGAGTGTGCGGAGGGTGTAGACGAACTGGAGTCAGGCGAATAAAGAGGGACCATGCTGAGGAGGAAGAGGAGCGTATCCTTCGGTGGATTTGGATGGTACGTTGCTCTGGTGGAACAGGAGTGTGGAAATGTCGGCCAGATGCCCTGTGTGTGATGTGCTCACTGGTGTTTATTTATGGTAGTCAGCATGCTTGCATGGGCTGTTTTTAATCTGCATTCATTTGCACTCTCACATGATGGATTTATAA